ATTTTTGTACTGAATTTTTCTGAAGTCTTATAAATAAGCAATACTAACACGCCATGTGTTTCTTTCTTTCTGAAATGTATATATATATATGTTTTATTCCCATTGCTATGCAATGTATGTAAGTATACATTTGTAAACACTTTGAAATAAAGATAACAACGATTTGCTTTCCTGTGAAATCTAGTACAAGTTCATTTTCGAGACCGTAGCGTAAATTTGATTGGATATTCCAGCGTAAATTAAATTTTCTATGACGCAAAAATGACAATGAAATGTTACAATGCCATATTATTATTCTTTAGAAAAAGTGAGGATCAAGTCGTTTTAATACGTCCCTTCAACTTAGAATTCACTAATTACGAAAACATTACGCATTAACACCATGATTAAGCAGTAATACTAGGATGAGATGTGTCATCATTTCCTAGTACTTATGTATGCTGTTCCCATTGCTCGCTGTCATCAACTTCTGTGCACACCAATTTAATCTCTAGCAGGAACAGATAAAATGATTTATCCTGAGGCTATGTCTACATATATTGCTGTCTGGTTGGCTATATACTGTCATAACTGACATATTCTTCATACTATAAATAAAAAAGTACATCAACGTGACGGTATGTGTTCGCCTACAATCACAAGTATTCCTATTTCCTTCTTTCAATAACTCGCCAAATCGATATCAGATTTGTTTGCATTATTCTGAAATAGTGAGCCTTATTTTCTGCATTGTATTCATTGTAATGATATCGCTACTCATATAGTGTATACGTTTTATCGCGGGAATCGGAAACACATATCGCTACTCATATAGCAAGTGTGTGCATGTTGACGTGGAAATCAGGGACACATATCGCTACTCATATAGCAAGTGTGTTCATGTTGACGTGGAAATCGGAAACACATATCGCTACTCATATAGCAAGTGTGTGCATGTTGATGTGGAAATCGGGAACACATATCGCTACTCATATAGCAAGTGTGTACGTGTTTGCCTGGAAATCGGAGATACATATCGCTATTCATATATCAAATGTGTACTACGTGTTGACGTGGAAATCGGAGACACATATCGCTACTCATGTAGCAAGTGTGTACGTGTTGACGTGGGAATCAGGAACACATATCGCTACTCATATAGCAAGCTTTAAATGTGTACGTGTTGGCATGGAAATCGGGGACACGTATCGCTATTCATATAGCAAGTGCGTACGAGTTCACGTGGAAATCGGAAACACATATCGCTACTCATATAGTAAATGTGTACATATTGACGTGGAAATCGGAGACACATTTCGCTACTCATATAGCAAGTGTGTACATGTTGACGTGAGAATCAGGGACACATATCGCTACTCATATATCAAATGTGTATATGTTGACGTGGAAATCGGAAACACGTATCGCTACTCATATAGCAAGTGTGTACATGTTAACGTGGGAATAGGAGACACATATCGCTACTCATATAGCAAGTGTGTACATGTTGACGTGGAAATCAGGGACACATATCGATATTCATATAGCAAGTGTGTACGTGTTGACGTGGGAATCGGAAACACATATCGCTACTCATATAGCAAGTTTGTAGATGTTGACGTGGGAATCGGGGACAAATATCGCTACTCATGTAGCAAGTGTGTACATGTTGACGTGGGAATCGGGGACACATATCGCTACTCATGTAGCAAGTGTGTACATGTTGACGTGAGAATCGGGGACACATATCGCTACTCATATAGCAAGTGTGTACATGTTGACGTGGGAATCGGGGACACATATCGCTACTCATGTAGCAAGTGTGTATATGGGAATCGGGAACACATATCGCTACTCATATAGCAAGCTTTAAGTGTGTACATGTTGACGTGGAAATCAGGGACACATATCGATATTCATATAGCAAGTGTGTATGTGTTGACGTGGGAATCGGAAACACATATCGCTAGTCATATAGCAAGTGTGTACGTGTTGACGTGGAAATCGGGGACACATATCGCTATTCATGTAGCAAGTGTGTACGTGTTGACATGGGAATCGGGAACACATATCGCTACTCATATAGCAAGTGTGTACATGTTGACGTGGGAATCGGGGACACATATCGCTACTCATGTAGCAAGTGTGTACATGGGAATCGGGAACACATATCGCTACTCATATAGCAAGCTTTAAGTGTGTACATGTTGACGTGGAAATCAGGGACACATATCGATATTCATATAGCAAGTGTGTATGTGTTGACGTGGGAATCGGAAACACATATCGCTAGTCATATAGCAAGTGTGTACGTGTTGACGTGGAAATCGGGGA